CCCCCACACACCTTCACGTCCCGGTGGATGCCGCCGTTCTTGTGCATGTAGGCGAGCGCCCTGAGCACCTCGCGCGCGATCGTGGCAATCACCGGCTCAGGCAGGCCCTGGGGTTGTCGAGCGAGAGGGTGCGTTTCAAAGATGGGGGATCATATCGCAGCCTTTGCCGCCCGCTGCCCGTTCTTTTTTACATTCGCGGCCGGCGGCTCCCCGAGCGATCGGAGCGAGTGCGGTGCAGAGCCACGGGGGTGGCTGCGTCGCTGCAGGGGGTGCGGCGGGCGGCAGCGGGGCCGGCGCGCATGCGGGGCGCCCGCCGCTTCTGGAGGCCGCCGCACGCGTTGGCGCCCCGCCGCGTTCGCCGGCGGTTCAAGGGAAAGGTGCCAACGCTGCTGCCGTGCATGCCCACACGGCTGAGAACGCCCGCCGCTCACCGCTGGGAAGCGCTCGCGCATGATGCAGCGCACAGAGCCCGCCCCCAGAAAGGGCATCACCATCCAAAGCTCGTGCGCGTTCACGAAGCTGGCGTGCAGCTGCAGGATGTTGGGGTGGTGGAAGCGGCGCATGAGGGCGGCCTCTTTGGTCAGGGCGGCGAGCTGCGCGCCGACGCCCTCAAGGTTGACCACTTTGACCGCGACCACCTCCCCCAGCGGCTTGCAGATCGCGCGGTGGACCTGCATGCCAGGGGCGGGAGGAGGTAGTAGGGGGACAGCATGGTTTGGGATTGCAAACCGGGCGGCAGGCGCAGGGCGCGCGGGCGTGGGCCGCCCCCCGTTGTAGCTCAGGCGGCGAGAGGTCGCGCGCTCGGCGGCGGCTGCCGACGCCGCGGTCAAACGGCGGACGCACCACGGCGCAGCCGCCGCGGCCGCACTCCTCCAGCAGCTCGTAGTCATTGGCGTCGACGGGCCATTCCCTGCGGCATGCGCGGCTCGCGGCGTCAGCGACCCGCCCTTCGTCCCGCCACCCGAAGCGAGCACCAGCGGCTATCGAGCTAGCAGACGCAGGGTGGCGTACATGTCGAAAACCCCCAGAGCAAGCACAATACATCATGCTGCATTCCTATAAGGCGCCACAAACAGCACGCACTTGACACGGTATGCTTGCAAGTCTTCGTCCACGAGCGGCCTGCCTCCGACCCCGGGCAGGATACAGGCCATAAGCAAGCCTTCTCAGCGCCGTTCAGTCACGCTCGTTCACCGCACTCTACGCGACCAATTGCCGGGACATTCTGCAATGCATTTGCTGTACGTGACGTTTTTTGACCCCGTGTCATCCAAAGCAAAAGTAAGCTATCAAAAGCTTCAGCTCCCGTGATCAGGTCGGCAGCTGATCTGCGTGCTTGGATCGAATGCGGACACAGGATGTTTGTGCCGTTGCAGCCCCTGACTGCAAGTGACTACTGTTGTGAATTGACACAATTGCAGCGCGATGCAAAGCAGTGCATCAATGTCCCCCGCACCGGTCCGCCGGGCCGTACCATACAATTTCAAAACCCGATGGCACGCCTGCAGTTCACTCCCAGGTTCCCACCAAGACCGCGTGGTGCGGCACTCAGAGCTGACAATGCAGGCGCCAGCGGGTTTGACACGCGACATTACAAGTGATACGAGCTCCGTGCAGCGGCCCACAGAGCCCGGGCCGCCCAGCCACCCAAACCTCACGCGGCGCCGCCCGCCGCGACGGCCCCCGGCACCCGGTCGCTCCCGGTGAGCCGCCGCAGCGCGTCCCGCCGCCCCGCCCAGTACGCGTCCAGCTGGCCCGTCGCCTTGGCCTCCTTGAAGGCGCGCAGGTCGGCGCCCTTGGGGTCGTACTTGTCCCTGATGGCCTGCACCTCGGCCCCGGTGACGTCGCCCGCAAAGCCGCCGTCGCGCTCCCACCAGCGCAGCGCGTGGTAGCGCTTGAGGGTGCGCTTCTCCGATTCCGTCAGAGGATACCTGCAAAAAGGGGGGCCGGGTGTGGTCGGGACCGGTGGAGGCGCGGTGGCCGTTGCGAGGGTGACGCCAGGCGGAGGCGGCCGCGCATCCGGTGTGTGCCGCGGCCGCGGGCGCTGGAAAGGGGGGCGGCTTCGTGCGCGACAGGCGGGGACGGACATCAGAGGCGCCCGGCCCGGCCGCGAGGGAGGATGATCCCCAGGTTGATGGAGCCTGCAGCTGCCGCTCGCACTCACTTGTACTGGTCGAAAGTGTAGGCGTGCTCCTGAGAGGGCAGGGCGGAGGGGCGGTTGGGGCGAGGCGCGGTGGGGCGAGTTGGGTCAATGGATGTGGGAGCCGGCGGGAGAGCGGTTGGTGCGATGCGAGGGAGTTTGCCTGAGCGAGGAGCGCGCTGCGCTGCAGGCAGCCGCGGCGGCCGTGAGCCCCATGCAGCCCAAGAGGCCCCAGCCGTGCCTTGCCCTCGGGGCCGGCGAGCCACGGGCGGCTGGCCCGTCGACATACGTCATCCGCGCCCCGTCGGTCCGCTACAGCCGCAGACAGTGGCTGTCCCCCTCCCCCTCATACCCGCACTGCTTCACCCCCCAGGACCTCGAAACAGTCCCCCTGTCCCTGCCACCCCAACATCTCTGCCCCACACCCAGGGGGTATATTTGACGCAAACCCCTGCAACGCCCCCAAAAAACCCCCC